AGTATACTGAAGAGATGAGAGTCCTAGAATGTGTTTAAGACACTAGAAGACAGAAGTATATGGACAAAGAGCCTCTGGGCAAAGTGCCTACTAGTTGAACTGGTCATTTGCTTTTAAGGTGGCCTTGTAATGGAGTGGCCCTGCTCACTAGCAATGCCGCCCAGTGAGCATACAGGAAGCTGGTTGAGCAATTCAGTGTGCCTTCCTCTTGGGAAAATGCCAAGAAAGGAGAAGAGACAGCACCAGGGCCCACACAGCCCTAGAGATGTTGATCTCCCTGGATGCCTATAGCTAAGGAGGATTCCATTTGGATTCAGCAAACAAGTTTTTGTCAAATATGGTTCCTGGGTTGTAGTCTCAGGACATGGAGGAAAGTACATGGAAAAAAATATGAATTAATACCTCCAATCTGTGGGTTGTGCAAATAGCAGTCTATAATTTCTGCTCTGTAGTTTCCCTTCCTGTATTTTCTGTTGCCTGAACCAGTAGATACTGACCTAGAAGGTCATCCATCCCCAACTTCAAGGTCTCATGATTTGGGGCACTATTTCCCACTATCCCTCTGCCCACTATTTCCCAGGATGTCTCCACAGGCAGAGCAAATTTCCTAAGGCAGAGACTTCCATTTTTCTACTCACACAGCATCCTTTAAATAGGGAGCGTAGGAAGAGTCTTCAGAGCCTACCTGGGACCAAAATCTGCATTTTACAGATGAGAAGGCTGAGGCTCAGGGGAGCTGACTGGCCTGTTGACCAATTCCACATCATCTGTCTCTGAGGTCAATGCTACGTCCACTGTACCACACTGCCTCAATCACAAGTTTCTTCAAACAACAGCTATGCACACCAGTCTTTGCAAATTATGTGATTACATGCGTGTATAAATATTAACCATTGTAATAAATACTTTCTTAGAGCACAGGGCTGTCTTCATGACATCTAGTTGAGTTGAAAAAAGGAAGTTCTGGAACAATATGTCTGGCATAATCTCATTATTGCTCTTCCCACCCCAACAAAAATAGCAGCTTCTGTGTGACTGTGTCTGGATGTGACTGTGTCTGTGAGGATCCACGTGCGTGTTCTTGTACACAGAGAAAGGGTCCAGGGTTTGCTCACCAAATAGCAGTGGATTTTCCTTGTGGGAGGGAAACTTCCATTCTTTTGTTTATTTGGAATTGCTACATGTTTTACAATGAGCATGCTTTGCTTTTGCAATTTAAAAACAATGAGTAAGAAATAATCATGGCTAACATGAGCTTGGAATACACACCAGGCACTCTGATAGGTCCCACATGTAGCATCTCATTTCATTCTCCCTGTGGCTCTATGACATGGGACTATATTACACCCCAGATTGGGACACTGAGGCTTAAAGAGGCTACAAGGTAGTAAGCGGCAGAGCCAGGATCTGAACACCGGAATAACTGACACAAAAGCAACGCTCAGATTACCCGGAAAAGGTCACTGTTTTTCACCTACACTCAACAGAAAAAAGAACGTGTGCCTCTCACAGGATGTCATCCCGTTGCTTCAAAGCAGAGACAAGGCTGCCGGCTGCCGTGCTACCCTAAGACACCTCAGTGAGTCTGCTGCCTGAGCTGAAGCTCCCTTTGCTGTGCTCGCCCCTCCTCCCCTGGCCCATACCCCATGCCTTTCCATCCTCACCATTCTTGGCGATCTCTCCATGTGTGAATTCCATTAAAGGCTTGCTCACTGCTATTTTGGGCCATGCATTAACACGTGGGCTTTGATTTGATAGGAGAAGGCCAGACATGGGAGGATGATGAAAAAGAAATTTAAAATGTCCTCTCCCTTCCCTCAGAGTCCCAGAGCCCTTGCTGGCCGCTCCTGGGAGACCTGAGAATCCAGTGTGTGGGGAAATGTACAGAGGGAGACTGGAAACCTTCAGAGTCTATTAGGGCCGTAAACATGGCTGTTCCCTCTCCTCAGAACTGTCGTCTCTCAGTTGTCCATATGGTTCACTCCCTCGCCTCCTTCAGGTCTTGACTCCAGTATCAGTTCACCAGCAAGGCCTTCCCTGCCGGCCATTCAGAAACAACGGCTCCCGTTCTACCTCCACGCTCCCCCCGCCCCACTCCCTATGTTCCTTTGTCTCCTGCACAGCATCAGTCACCTGGCAGACGGTACATTCACTTGTCTTCTTGCTGTTTCCCACTAGAATAGAAGTTCCATAAACGCCCTGCTGTTTTATTCACGGCCTTATCCCCAGTACCTGCACTGTTGCCTAAATGTCACAGAGGCACAGTAGATGAAAAACAACGAACAAGTTGATCAAGGAGGTTAAGAAGCAGAGGCTGAGAAATGGCTTGGCCCAGGGCCTCATTTCCCCCAAATATCATGAGATTACAGAAACTTCAACGCAGCGATTTGAAAAATCGGCCCACTCCAAAGCTGTTTTGAATCTGGACTCGCACACACCATGAATGAGAAGGCTTTGGGAAATAAGCACACTAGGAAGTCGTGTGCAGTTGGAGTTCCGCTCACTAACACATGTTCAAAACAAAAAGCCCAGTTTGGATGAAAATAGCAGGAAGCTGTCCCCCAGGGACACCTGGTGAGGTCATATTGCTTGGCTCTGCTGCTTCCATTTTTACCAACTCTCCTGCCTTCTGCCAACTCAAGGAGGCCAGGAACCACATCCAGCCCCATGCTGCTCAATGGGAAATGAGAGCTGCTCTCGGAAAAGCAGATGCTAGAGCCACAGCCACGAGCTCTCCTCGGGAGCCTCAGTGTGGAACAATAAAAATCCCAACTGTGGCTGGCCACTCACCATGTGCTCTGCAAGCACTTCCTGCACCTCACCTCACTTATCCTCACAACCATCCCACGGGGCTGGCCTCATTACCCTCATTTTACAGACAAGGACACTGAAGTTCCAGAAGGTTTAGCCATTTGCTCTGGGTCACATTCTGTAACTCTAGACTCACACCAAGAATACATATGATCCTAGTCTCAGCTCTTTCATTTGCTTGCTGGGTGGCCTCAGACAAATGCCTATCCCTCTCTGAATCAAAATATCTGCATCCATAATTTCAGTGTTTTCTAAGATCATTCCATTCAGTGTTTTTTAAGGTACCTTCCTACTTTAACTTCCTATGGTTTCTAGCCCATGTTTCAAAACAGGAGTGAAGGATAGAAACTTGAGTCCTGGGACTCCTGCTGGGCCAGCCAACTCCTAAAGATTTTCCCACAACACCAACACTGTCACCAGGGCTGACCAGAGGAAGTCGAAGGGCCACAGGCTCTCCTGGGGGCAGAACAGGAGAGATTAGACGCAGGCAACAACAGGGAACACTTAGACTAGAGCTAATGGGTTGGGTCCATGAGAAACAAAGGCAGGCCCTCGAGAGACACAGTCAAGAGCAGACCCTCTTGGCCGGGCGCGGTGGCTCATGCCTGTAATCCCAGCACTTTGGGAGGCCGAGGCAGGTGGATCATGAGGTCAGGAGATCGAGACCATCCTGGCCAACATGGTGAAACCCCATATCAACTAAAAATACAAAAATTAGCCAGGTGTGGTGGTATGTGCCTGTAATCCCAGCTACTGAGGAGGCTGAGGCAGGAGAATCGCTTAAACCCGGCAGGCAGAAGTTGCAGTGAGCCGAGGTTGCGCCACTGCACTCCAGCCTGTGTGATGGAGAGAGACTCTGTCTCAAAAAAAGAACAGACAAAAACAAAAACAGACCCTCTAAGGGCCTTTTCTTGTAGACCAAAGGAGACAATGAAAGGAAAAATCCAGGGCAGGCAGAGGCTGCAGTGTCTGGGGACCAAGCTGGCCAGGTCTGTTCCAGGGACCCAGGAAAGAAGAAACACAGCCTAAGCTGGCTTTACTCTCAAGAGGAGGCAAACAAAAATGACTGTGATCCCCATCGTTCTGGCTTCCCGAGGCCACCATGTCCTGGAGGCAGAAGAAGGATGTGGACGAAGCCCCACCACTGCACAACTGTGAGCTGTATTTTAACCACACTCAGGCCACTCATCCTCCTTTGCAAGTGCCCAAAAAGCCCAAATTTGGAATAAATTATATTCTCCCTTTCCACTCAAGCCTAAAAGCCATTCCCATCCTTTTGTATACAGGAAGGTCCTTCATCTTTTTCTTGGCAGTGATGTATTTGATTACTCATCAGCTTCCATGGGGTTCTGGAGGCTGCCAAGGGGAGACAGGCAGCTCTCCAAGCCATGCAGCCTTATCTGCGACATCTATGAGGCAGAACGAAAAATGGGACAGTCGGTGGGGAAATACCAGTGGTTTTCAGAGTCCTTCAGCCAAGTAAGGAGAAGTCTTCACAGCTAAGTAGATGGGGAATGGCCAAAGAATGGGCCACAGACATAGCCATGCATTGTGTCCATTCACTTCCTCCATCACATGAATCCAGATATGACGGCGTCTGATAGCAAATCAATGTGGAAGTGCCTCTGAGCCAGGCCACCACCTGAGATGAATGAGGTTAGGAAGATGAAGAGCTGGGCCAATGAAGCCAGGAGACTGCTGACGATGCCCTACTGGCGAAATCTCAAATGCGGCTGACCCAGAACACATGGAACAATCTGAGTCTGAGGCGCCAAACCCCAGCACACCCTGTTTTGCTCGCTCCTCTCTGCTGTTTTCCTCTAATCTCCTTCATTTCCTGCCACGCACTGGGCTGGTTCTAGTAAGGCAGCTGCCAAAGACCTCCTGTCCATCCACTCCCGTAATCTCACACACACACAGACCTCTGTGTGCCCGCAGTGAACTCCAGGGGCCTCCAAAATACTGCCTAAGGAAATTTTAGCAATACATTTAACAGTCCAGCAACCTCACATCAAGTCAAGAGGCTGTGGAAAGGCTCTGACTTTGCAAGATGCTGCCTCAAAGGAAGCAAGGACTGAGAGCTCGGGGTCAACTCCATTAAGTGCTTCCTTCCAGAACAGCGACACCTGCGTCCGGCATTGACACGGAAGTTATTTGTTTCATTTTAGACAAGGGAGGAGTCCACTTACTCATTCTTCTCCAGGTCCAGGATCAGTTCTCGCCCCTCAGCCATTACCCTGAGCTCAGCTTTGAGTGGATGCTAAAAGCAACAACAAAACAAGGTCAGTTCCTAAAAGCCAGCACCAAGGCGCCCAGGGTTGGGCACAGGCTCTAGCGCAGCGCTCCGACATTGATCCACAGAAGTGAATGAGCAAAGGTCAATAGCATTTCCAGCCCACATGTAAAACGACCTCAATCCCAGAATCACCCAAATCCTTCCCCCATCTGCTTTCTCCCGAAAGGCATAGGAAAGAAACTCCAGGCTGCAATGTGGTGTAAGTGTACGTTATGTGGTGTGGTGAAGGGAAACACTGGAAAACATAGTCTCCAGCAGTAAATGTCCTGCAGAGTCAGCTCTGGATTCAAGCGCCAGCTCTGAAACCTGCAGTTGTGTGAAGTTGGACATGTTGCTGAGCCTCCCCACATCTGTTTCTTCATGTATGATACAGAGATAGTAATAGTCAACTTGATGGGGATCTTGGAAGGATTGAGTGAGATACTGAGCATAAATAATGTATCACAGTGCCTGGCACACGGCAAGCCTTGATATATGTTGCCTATTATCTTGTAAAATACTTGGGGATCCTCTTCATAGTGGGTTCTTATTTTATTTTGTTCGGCCCTCAGTTTAGAAAACCCCAATCATCTCAGAGGAAGCAACTCAGAGATCCTCAGAGTAAGGTTTCATAGGCCAAAAAGTAGATATTTTACACATAAACGTTTGCTAGTGGCCACAGGTGCTACACATCCAGAGTGAATCACTTAAGATATACCAGTGGTTAAAACGCACAAAAAATATGTTCAACATTACTAATAAACCACCTCCTCACCTCCAGAAAAATAAAACTAAAAATAATAAGGTACCTTGAAAAAAATCAAAGTGCCAGAGTTATCTAAAACTAAATCACAATGCACAATGCCCACCGTAAAGTGGGCACTTGCAATCCCTACTGCTGAGAATTTAAACTGACAACAACTCTCTGAAAGATAATGACAGTACGTACCGAGAGTTTAAAACGGTTTTGACTCAGCAGGGCACAGTGGCTCACGCCTATAATCCCAGCACTTTGGGAAGCCTAGGCAGGTGGATCATCTGAGGTCAGGAGTTCGAGACCAGCCTGGCCAACAGGGTGAAACCCCGTCTCTACTAAAAACACAAAAATTAGCTGGGAGTGGTGGTGCAAGCCTGTAGTCCTAGGCACTTGGGAGGCTGAGGCAGAAGAATCGCTTGAACCGGGAGGCGGAGGTTGCAGTGAGCCGTGATGACACTACTGCACTCCAGTGTGGGTGACAGAGCAAGACTCCGTCTCAAAAACACAAGAAACAAAAAAAAGGAATGAATAATGAAATGTAAGCTAACTGTCCTAAATATAACCTGTTAGAGAACACTTAAATAAATGATGACCCATTCATATGACAGAACACTGGATGATCATCAAAAGCAGCGACGTTAAGTAGTTGTTGAATTATTGAGAAAATGTATACAATAATCATTAGTCTTAAAGCCTCAAAATACAACACTGAGTATTTTATTCAAATACACTTTGCAAAGGGAAAAATGTAGAGAGAAGTAAGCCTAAAAGTTACCATAGTTACTCTCGGCAATGGAATCATGAGTTAATTTTTTTTTAGCATCTCTCCATATTTTTATAATTGCTTTCATAGTTTAAGAAAAGAATGTTTATTAATCTCTTTTTACCGTATGATTGTGGAAAATTTCAAAGAAATTTAAAAACCAAGTCGTAATAAACCTCCATACTTCGACAATTCAACTTAAAAGGCTACTGAACTTTTTTCTGAAGAAATAAATTATTTATTTAAAACAAGATATTTACATATTTAAAATACGTAGGGCAGATTCTTTGGGGTGTTTTAAACATAAGCTCTCTACTTTGGGACTAAGGAACTGACAACTTTTTTTTTTTTTGAGGCAAGGTCTTTCTTTGTTGTGCAGGCTGGAGTGCAGTGGCACAATCATGGCTCACTGCAGCCTCAACCTCCCAGGCTCAAGTGATCCTCCCCACCATGCTCCCTGAGTAGCTGGGACCACAGGTGCATGTCACCACACTGGGCTAACATTTTAAATTTTTTTATAAATACTGGGGTATCACCATGTTGCTAAGGCTGACCTTGAACTCCTGGGCTCACGTGATCCTTCCACTTCGGCCTCCCAAAGTGTTGGTATTACAGGTGTGAGCCACCTCATCACCCAGCAGATAAATTGTTGAAGTCCCTTTCAATCCACAAAAGTCATTGCTAGAGTAGAGCTTCTAGCCCTTCTAAGGTTGACCTCAAAGTTTAGTTTTTGAATGTCTGAGAAAGTAGGTCACCTGTTCTGCCACCTCTGGTTAGAGGCCTGCCTCGTCTGAGCACATTCCCCTTCCTCACTGCAAACCCCACTCTGCATTAGGATTTGGGCATTTCTGACACCTTGAGGTCACCAAGGGCTCTGATGAGACCTGAACATTCAGATCGAGGACTCTTGGGCATCCCTGACGATTGCCTAATCAATCTTATTACCTCAATTCAAGAAGGAGCATTTCAAACCCACCGGAGCAGGAAGCTGGGGAGATGTTTGACAAACAACTTTCATTAAGAGATTCACTTCTGTTTGTCATGCCCTGATTCGGCTCTGCCAACACTGGTTGTAGATCCTTTGCCACTTCATGGAGTTTTTGAGCCAGTGCCCTGCCCAATCACACAGAGCATCAGGGAATCCGCCCCAAGTGGGCATTTAAGAAAGATGGCATAGCAATAGAACTATAGCAATTCCCTCATCCAAGAGGTAGGTGACCATGTGACAGCCCCCACAGAAAATGAACACCGCCCCAAACCAAAGCACTGTCACCTCTCCCTCAAAAAGACACAAGCTGCAGCAGGAGTAGTAATCTTTTTTTTTTTTTTTTTTTTTGAGAGAGTTTCGCTGGAGTGCAATGACCTGATCTCAGCTCACTGCAAACTCCGCCTCCTGGGTTCAAGCCATTCTCATGCTAAGCCTCCCGAGTAGCTGAGATTATAGGTATGCACCCCTACACCTGGCCAATTTTTGTATTTCTAGTAGAGATGGGGTTTCTCCATGTTGGCCAGGCTGGTCTTGAACTCCTGACCTCAGGTGATCCACCCATCTCAGCCTCCCAAAGTGCTGGGATTATAGGGCATGAGCCACCATGCCCGGCCAGGAGTAGTAATCTTTATTTTTATGTGGGTGACCCAAAAATAATTCTCTCTATTCTGGAAGGTACTCAGACACTGATATTTAAAAAAGGATGTTCCCTGTTTCCATGGGGCATTTCAAGCAAAACAATGAAACAGCATTTTAAAATCTAGGAAGTTTTTCTGTCCAGCTCTACTGATGAGCTTTTCTGATGTAACTCCACTCTGTACTAAGAAGGGGCACCGTCAACTCTCCTAAGAAGTACAGGGAGCTGACCCACCATTTATACCTCTCCTGAGGGCGGGTTAAAAATCCCTTCTCCTTCAGTCTAAATAGATTTTCAGCTTCATAGGGTATTGGAAACCTGTCCTATATTTGCATCCCCTTTAAGATCTAGTACAATATTTAGTATACAGTAAGTGTTCAGTTAATGTTTAATGAATGTGAGCTTTAAGTCAACGATGAGAAAAAGAGAAGAAAAAAATGTTTAATGAGTAAATTAATTACATAAATGAGAATCAGAGGCCCAAGTGAAATCCAGCCTCTGGTCTCTTTCTCTTTGGCATTCATTCATTTGTTCATTTGACAAATATTTATGGTGCCAGGCACTGTGCTGACTATTCCTACAGAATACAATGACCCATATGCTGGGCAGACAATGGCTGAGAACAAAGACAGGATCCCGTCCTCTGCTTTGTTCTCAGGTTCTTCCTGAGGATGCCCAGCATTCACATCTGGAGAGAACAAAGAAGCCTCTATAAAAAGTAGCAGGTCCATTCCTCAGGCAATATGAATAGGCAGCAATATCCAAGATTGTAATTGTTCAAAGTAATCTGCTCTAGGATGACCATCCATTAATTTGCCGAGAATTTCCCTGAAGATATTTTCAGCCTCTCCTATTTTTTGATGAAATGAATTCCATGTATTTACTGCCTTAAGGACAAAATGTTACTTGCTTTTATTTGTCCTCATCTTTTTCTTTTTTGAGACAAGGTCTTGCACTGTCACTCAGGCTGGAGGACAGTGGTGCAATCATACCTTACTAGAACCTCAAACTCCTGGGATCAGGCGATCCTCCCACCTCGGCCTCCCGAGTAGCTGGGACTACAGACACACTGCTAGGCCTGGGTAATTTTGTTTTATTTCTTTTCCTTCCTTCTCTCCTTCCTTCCTTCCTTCCTTCCTTCCTTCCTTCCTTCCTTCCTTCCTTCCTTCTTTCCCTCCTCCCTCCCTCCCTCTCTCCTTCCCTCCCTCCCTCTCTCCTTCCTTTCTTTCTTTCTTTTGGCAGAGATGGGATCTGAGTATGTTGCCCCAGGCTAGTCTTACACTCCTGGCCTCAAATTATCCTCCTGCCTCAGCCTCCCAAAGTGCTGGGATTCCAGGTGTGAGCCACCACACCTGGCCTGTTGTAAAATTTACACTGTTAGGTTCCCTTGGTAAATCCAAGTTGGAGCCTTTTTGGACATGTCTGCATTACTCTGGCCAGAGCTTCAAGGATCCTGGACATTTATCCTTTCCATCTACCTTTCCAAATTCAACAGCCACAATGTCAGAAGTCTTTCCTGACACATCTATTTCCTGCTGCAATCTTGTCCTATATGTTGCTCAATAAATCACAAAATGTTTTAACCCAAAGAGATCTTAGAAAACAACCCATCTCCCCAGCTTTCTTTTCTCTTTATTCTCTCTAAGCCCTATTTTATAAATGAGTAAAATCTACACTTTAGCAAGTGGTAGATCACAGCTGGTTACTGGCACGCAACAACCCACAACTTCCTTTCTTGCTCTTTCGGGTCTCACTTGAGCTGTAAAAACCAAAACCACAGTGGGGCACAGTGGCTGATGCCTGTAATCCCAACACTTTAGGAGGCCGAAGTGGGTGGATCACTCGAGGTCAGAGTTCAAGACCAGCCTGGGCCACATGGTGAAACCCCGTCTCTATTAAAAATACAAAAATTGGCCTGGCTTGACAGTGCGCACATGTAATCTCAGCTACTCAGGAGGATGAGGCATGAGAATCGCTTGAACCTGGGAGGCGAAGGCTGCAGTGAGCTGAGATCATGCAACTGCACTCCAGCCTGGGCATCAGAATGAGACTCTGACCAAAAAAAAAAAAAACAACAATCAAACAATCAAACAAAAACCAGAACCACAAAAAATATGCTAGATGCACTGGTCCTCTCTGCAAGAACAGGACAATGATTTTTGTTTTCTTCCCAATCTTTTTGATAAAGCCTATGCATTTTCCTGGTGTTCTGGTGAGAAGAACCTACCGGATTTAAGAAACATTCCCCAGTACTAGGTCTCTACCCTGCCTCTTATTAAAATAATTTATATTATTATCCTTTTTCTCTCCAAGTACATTATTCCATCAAGTAAATGAAGTATGTATTATGCAGAGCAGAAATAACAATGACAATATTTAATTAATTCCAATCAAGGGTAAGTGATTCCTGTGACACCAACTCATTTGCACTTAGCTTGTATCACCATTAATGTGAATTTTCATTTCCTCGACTAATAGCATTTGGAAGTGTTCTAGAAGTTTGTCATACAATGAAGGAAAGTCCTGTCTGTGATATCCAAAATGGGCACCCAGAGGATAGAGTGAGCTGGAAATAGAATTAATGGTGATGACTGGGATTCCAAGAAAGTTGAGTAGGTAGCCCAAACCTCTAGTTGCTAACTCCTGCCAATGTAAACGAGAGCTTTTGAGTCTTACCTTTTCTCTCACGGGGCTTTCTGAAGTCTTCCACTGAGGTATTATTAGTTCATGCTGCAGGTGGGGGCTGCCTTCCCCACTTCCTCCTGCCAATACAAGATGCAAAACCATTGGAATCCCAGACCTCTATACCCCAGCTAAGCCACACATGCACTTTCTGTGAGCTGTCCCTGCTCTGGGTCCTTAGAAGACTTGCTGGATTCCGGGCTCTTGGCACTTACTAGGAACCAGGCACTATAGGTGTTGGCGATATTGTGGTAAACAGGGTAAATAAGGTCTCTGTACGAGTTTGCCTTCTAGAGGTGGGAGACAGACGATAAACAAATGTTCTCAGAAGGTGCTAAGTGCCCTGAAGAAGATAAGTTGGGGTCATGGGATAAAGAGACACCTAGCAGGGGGTGCCTATTTCAGACAGGATGATCAGCAAAGACCGCATTTGAGTTCTGAGGGGTCAGAAGAAGGCAGCCATGCAAAAACTTGAGGGAAGAGTGCCCCAGGTAGAGGAAACAGAAAACGCAATGGCTGAGCAGAAGTGAACTTGTCCTGCTGAAGGAACAAGCAGAAGGTAGGGGTAGCTAGTAAATGAAAGAGGAAGTTGGTAAGAGATGTGGTCGGCGAGACAGCCATGGGTCTGATAATGCAGAGAGTACGGAGAGTGTCTGGATTTTCTTATAAATAGACTTGGAAGGCACTGGGTGTTTTAAATACAGAGTAATATGATCTGTGTTAAGTTTAAAAAAGACCACTCTGCCTGCACGGTGGAGAATGGGGGTGGAATGAGGGAGAGCAGAAGCAAGAAGGCCAGGCTAGAGATACGCAGGAGCCCTGGTGAGAGATGATGGTGGGTCAGATTAGAATGACATCAGTGGAGAGGAATGAAGCAGTGCGATTCTGGGCATATTCTGGAGGTCAAGCCCATGAGTATTGCTCTCGTGGAGCTGTAGTTTTCTTGCCTGTAAAATGGAGACATCGATCCTACCTGCCCATCTCACAGCTTTATTGTGGAGAGTCAATATGAAATTGCCCCGTAAGCTGCAGAGCATCACTGCATAACTGGAGCTTCCTAACAGCAAGTTTGCATTTGTATTCTACTTTCTACTTCCCAAATCATTCTCACCACCCAGTTCTCCTTCATATTCAGGGCAACCCTGGGAAGTAGGAACTGGGAGTCCTGTTTTGCAAGAAAGAGAATTTAAACTACAGGAGAGACTTGTTCAGGGCACTGAGAACTCAAACACTGGCTGCAGACCATCTTAATAAAATGGTAATTTCCCAACACCTAAACAGTCTGGTCTCTGTAGTACTCCTGGGAATGGAGCTGAGGACTGCAAAATCTACTCTGTCTAAACTAACCACAGCAATCATACAGAATATGAGTAATACAAAGATGGCCATAGTTGTTCTGTTAGAATGGTGATGATTATGAGTGATGATTAACATTCCCTCCAGATTATCAATATAATGCACTTGCAATCAACATGGGTTTTAAAAATAATCCCACTGGACCAACACCAATTCATCAGATAGGTAAAAATTAGAAGCAATGCATTCATATATTTATCAAATATTTTCTGAGTACTTAACTATGTGCCAAGTATATGCTATGAATATGTGCTTAATATTCATGGAGGAACAAGACAAGCATACAGCCAGGAATGGTGGCTCATACCTGTAATCTCAGCACTTTGGGAGGTCCGAGGTGGGCAGATCACCTGAGGTCAGAAGTTCAAGAACAGCCTGGCCAACATGGTGAAGCCCCGTCTCCACTAAAAATACAAAAATTCACTGGGCGTGGTGGTGCATGCCTGTAATCCCAGCTACTCAGGAGGTTGAGGCACAAGAATTGCTTGAATCTGGGCAGCTGAGATTTCGCCATTGCACTCCAGCCTGAGCAACAGAGCAAGACTCCATCTCAGAAAAAAAAAAAAAAAAAAGAGAAGCATAGTCCTTGCTCTGGTGGCTCTGATGAGTCTAGATTCTTTTAAACAAAAAGGAATTCTATAATATTTAATAGAACATTTAAAGGGGCCGGGTGCGGTGGCTCATGCCTATAATCCCAGCACTTTGGGAGGCCGAGACAGGTAGATCACAAGGTCACGAGATCGAGACCATCCTGGTTAACGTGGTGAAACCCCGTCTCTACTAAAAACACAAAAACTAGCTGGGCATGGTGGCGCACGCCTGTAGTCCCAGTTACTCGGGAGGCTGAGGCAGGAGAATTGCTTGAACCCAGGAGACGGAAGTTGTGGTGAGCCGAGATCGGGCCATTGCACTCCAGCCTGGGAATGAAACGTGAAACTCCGTCTCAAAAAAAAAAGAACATTTAAAAGAATTACTTGTTATATTTATGGTTGTAAAAAAATAATGGAAGCAATCTAAAGTCTCACCAAAAGAGGAACACAGTACATGTTAAGAAAAAGTCTCCAAATCTTGGAAATAAGGCAAAGAGCAAGCAAGATGTCTTCTCAATGTCATATTGGAATATTGTTTAACAAACCCGCCCATGGATTATTACATTAACTTTTCCTTTTTTTTTGAAATGGAGTCTTGCTGTGTCGCCCAAGCTGGAGTGCAGTGGCACGATCTCAGCTTATTGCAACCTCCACCTCCCAGGTTCAAGCCATTCTCCTGTCTCTGCCTCCCAAGTTGCTGGAATTACAGGCAGGAGCCACCATGCCAGGCTAATTTTTGTATTTTTAGTAGAGACAAGGTTTCATGATGTTGGCCAGGCTGATCTGGAACACTGAGATTACAAGTGTGTGCCACTGCGACCGGCCCAGATTATTGCATTATCTATGGGAATGTACCATTGACTTTTTATTTATCATTGATTAAAGACTATACTCTGTGAAGTTATATTAGATAGATAGATAGATAGATTGATTGATTTCTGTCTGAGAGGTGAGTGATTTCAGCACAGTAGAAAGATAACCTGGCTGAGTGCGGTGGCTCACACCTGTAATCCTAGCACTTTGGGAGGCCGAGGTGTAGCACTTTGGGAGGCCGAGGTGGGTGAATTACCTGAGATCAGGAGTTTGACACCAGCTTGGCCAACAGGGTAAAACCCTGTCTCTACTAAAAATACAAAAACTAGTCAGGTGTGATGGCACATGCTTGTAATCCCAGCTACTCAGGAGGCTGAGGCAGGAGAATCACTTGAACGCAGAAGGCAGAGATTGCAGCGAGTCGAGATCACACCACTGCACTCCACCCTGGGCAACAGAGAGAGGCTCTGTCTCAAAGAAAAAAAAAAAGAAAGAAAAGAGAAAAGAGAAGAAAAAGCAAAAAAAGGAAAGGAAAAGAAAAAGAAGAAAAGAAATGATAACCAAGAATTATGGTTTTGCTTCATGGGCATCCACCATTTCTGCATCTGTCCGGGGCCACATGATTTCAACATTCTTTCTCCAATGCCTGTTATCACCCCTTTCTAATGCTCCTTGAATCAGTTTTACTATTCTGTTGGCTACCTCATTAACAAGTTAAATAAATCTTGGCCACATTGGTATAAGTTGTGTGTCTAACTTTTGAAAACTTTGTATAGCGTCATTAAAATCATGTTTTTTGGAGAATTTAATGATGTGGAAAATGCTCATGGTGTGAAGTGAAAAATGCAAGACACAAAACTGTACTTACGGTATGGTTCCAGTTTTATCAATATATATTTATATCCATAGCAACACACAAACAATGGGGAGGGAAAAAATATCAATAGCAACTGTGGATTTGGGAGTTGCAGATCATTTTATTTCTATTACACTTTTCGTTATTTCCCAGATATTCTACAGCGAGAGTTCTTCAAGGACTCAACTCAGAGAAGGCGCCTGTGCTAGGAGCAGTAACTTGGTTTCCTTGTCTTTCTTCATGCTTTTCTCCTGCGCTAAGCACTGGCCCAGGCCTGGTTCTACCCTAGAACCTCCTGTGCCTCAGTTTCCCCTTCAGTACAATAGCTCAAAGAGCGATTCCTGTTTGCCCGCGCCGGATGACCGCTGGACCTCGGCCCCTGGAAGTTCTGAACTGTAGGACGAGCTCAGTCTCCGGGCTTGAGACGGCTTGAGGGGTCCAGCCAGCCCTCCCCCACCCCGCCAGGGCTTGCTTTATTTGAAAATGCTGACTGTTGGTCCCGCAGGCAGCAGTCTGGAGTCAGCCCAGCCGCTCTGCAGCGGTGGAGCCAGGGCTAAGCCTTCTCCGGTCACAATGACAGAACCCGGTCACAATGACAGAACCCGGGCACCGCACCCACCCCCCCGGGGACTATTCCTTCCGAGAAATCTGCAAAGAGCCCCCGAGGGATGGGGTCGGGGAGGGGTTGGTGTCTGGGAAACTAGTTATGAGAAACATGGACATCACCAGGCATCTAAGCTGGAAACATTGAGTCCGACCCCTTCGCTTCACAGAAAGGGAAACTGACGACCAAAGAAGGCGGCTGTCGGGTTGGCGTGGAAAGAGAGCCCTGGCTTCCAGTGCCAGAGCGGACCTCAACCCGTGGCGTGGCCATGGGCAAGTCCTTTCCCTTTTGTGGGCCTCGGTTTCCTCATCTGTGAAATGGGCGTGTTAGACTTGGCCTTCGGTAGGGCTCCTGCCAGCTCACGGCTCCGAAGTGTGCTGCTGGAGATACCCGGCAAGCCACCCCCCAGCCAAGGCTACCACAGCCTCCCGCGGGGATTTTATGTCCTACCCCACCAATGTGGCAGGCACTGAGCCTAGTCCCAGGAAGCCGCTCCCAGGCCACAGGGGCAGGACGCTCGGGATGCTCTCGGCACTCGGGCGCAGGCGAGTGCAGCGGGCGGGAGAGAGAGAGAGACAGAGAGAGAGGCGGAGCGGACACCAGGGACCGTGAGAAAACGGAGGAGGATAAGCCCCGAGAACAGCGGAAAGAGAAGCCAAAAGCAGAAAAACAGAGGAAGCAGAAGGCGAGAGGGGAAGGCACGCCAGTGAGCGGACCGGCCGTTTTCTGGCAGTGCCGGGTTGCCCCGACCTCCGCCACCTCCCAGGGCGCACAACGTGGGAACAAAGCCCCGGCTCCCAGGCTGGGGGCAGGGGGAGCGTAGGCCCCGTGGAGTTTCAGGAGGCGCAGGGGTCGCAGTCCCGGCGCTTGGGACCCGCAGGTCGACTCCCAGGTCTCCCGGCCACCCAGATCTCCGGGCCACGCAGCCTCCATCCCCCCGCGCCTGGCCACTTACTTGTCCATCCAGGCTCCTGCGCCGCCCGCGGCCGGAGGAGCTGCAGGGCGAGCGCCAGCAAGCAGAGCCGGGCGGCGCCTGCGCCCCCTGGCATGGTGGCGGCGGCCCCTCGCGCTCGGTGCTCACACACCCTCGGCCATGCCTGCCCCCGGCCCGGCGGCGGCGGCGGCTCGTCTGGAACCCCCGGCTCGCCCCGCGCCTACCCACCCGGCTCTCCCAGCCCTCGGCAGAGACGCTCCGCCCCACCAGCCCCGCGGGGCTCCGCTAGGAGATGGAGGAGGGGAGGCTCCCGCCCGGAGGGGGCTGGAGGGAGGGGCCGGGGAGGAGCTGGCGGGACTCGGGGGAGCGGGGCTGGCTCAGGTGAGGGAGACCGCAGGGAAGGAAGAATTCGAGCCTAAGGAGGAGGGATTCGTGGTGGACGCTGCCTGGGGAGGGTCAAGGACTTGGGCTTCTAGGAGTTAAACTGGACCCCTCTCCGCACAGCGGCCGGTTTACTGTCCCACACTGTGCCAGACGCCTTGGGTGACACCCAGAGGCGACTCAGCCAGCGCCGTCCCCCAGAGGCCGCCACTCTCTTTGGCAGGCTCAGAAAGAGTTAACCCAACCATCAGGCACAAAGAGCTAAGCGCTATATGGACTTTTTTTTTTTTTTTTTTTTTTTTTTTGGTAGGACACAAATCGAGGAGCCGTTCCTTCTGCCTGGGAGGAGGGAGTGGTGAAGACCAGAGGAATCCCAGAGGAGAAGACTTCTGAGATGGGGAGGGGAGAAATGGAACATCAGGCGGAGGAAACAGCCCAGACATCGCACTGGGACTTGAAAGCTCTTAGGCTGTATGAGGGGAGAAAACCAGAACTGGGGTTGGTTAGGGTTTTGGAGGGAAACACGGGGAGACGAGACAAAAAATAATAACTACTGTTACTTATTGAGGACTTTCTATGTGCTAGAATAAGAAAATCATAATAGCTAAGGCTAATAAAGTGCTAAGTGTCAGACACTGTCTTCAGCACTTTACACATAGTAACTTATTTAATTAATCGAAGAAAAGAACTTATTATTAACCAGGGACTCTGCATACATTATCTCTTTTAATTAGCCCAATGGGGTAGGTACTAGTACTATCCCTGTTTTAGAGATGAGGAAATCAACCTTAAGAGGCTAAACCACTTGCCTCTTATACAGCTAATGTCAGCACCTGGATTCAAACCCACGTCTGTATAACTCCAGAGCCTGATGCAACACACCTTATTTTCCAGGTGGATAAACTGATAATCAGAGAGAAATGACTTGCCTAAGATCCCTTAGCAAGTTTCAGCAAAGCCTAGTTCTAGAAACCCAGCCTCAAACCTTATCCATCTGTTTCTTTTTCTGAGTCTCTTTAGTCAAACCCACGTTGACTGGAGAAGGTGCTGCGTGTTGGAGAGGGCGAGGCACTCCTGGAGATGATGGGTCTATCAAACCCTACTCGTGGGCACCCATGAAGGAAATAAAACCTGTGGTTCTAGACATTAATGTGCTTCAGGATTCCATTAGTCTCCTCCAGCTGCCACAAAATTCGTACCCTTCTGTGAACCCAAAATATCTGAGATAGGACTCACTTAATTTAGAAGGTTGATTTTGCCAAGGTTAAGGATGTGCTCATAACACAGCCTCGGGAGGTCCCAACATGTGCCCAGGGTAGTCGGGGTACAGCTTGCTTTTATAAACTTTGGGGAGACATGAGACATCAATCAGTATGTATAGGATGTTCGTTGGCTCGGTGTTTCCAGGTTATAAGTAGATAAGAAACAAAAAATGTTGCATTCTTTTGAGTCCTTGATCAACCTTCCACTGAATACACAATTTAGTCTAGCTCAGTGAAGCTGCATTTTTACATAAACAATAGGGCAGAAGAAGCAATCGGATATGCATTTGTCTCCAGTGAGCCTCAGAGGGGTGACTTTAAGTTCTGTCTGCCCTTTGTCCACAAGGAATTTCCTTGTGTGAAAATTATGAGGAAGGTATGTAGCTGTTTATCTTTGTAGCTATCACATTTAAGAATAAAATGGTGGCCAGGCACGGTGGCTTATGCCTGTAATTCCAGTTCTTTGGGAGGCAGAGGCGGGCGGATCACCTGAGGTTAGGAGTTCCAGGCCAGCCTGACCAATGTGGCGAAACCCTGTCTCTACTAAAAATACAAAAGAAAATTAGCCAGACGTGGTGGCACACCTGTAATCCCAGCTACTGCGGAGGCTGAGGCAGGAGATTCGCTTGAACCTGGGAAGTGGAGATTGCAGTGAGCCGAGATTACACCACTGCACTCCAGCCTGGGCAACAGAGTGAGACTCCATTTCAAAAAAGAAAAGAAAAGAATAAAATGGGAGGCAGGTTTGCCTGACATTGTTCCCAGCTTGACTTTTCCCTTGGCTTAGTAATTTGGGGGTCCTAAGGTTTATTTTCCTTTCACATCTCTCACATGCAGAATGCATTCACCCCATCCCAGTAGCCCAAACATCTTCTAGAATCAATTCTAACTCTGAAGTGTCATCTAAATTTCATCTATATTAGATATGGCTAAGACTTGAAGTTTGATTCATCCTCAGGCAAAATTCTTCTCAGCTTTCAAATACAATGTGGTAGGACAGGCATAGGACAGAATTACCAGTTCCAAAAGGGAGACACTGAAAAGAAGAACAAGGTGGCATGTCCCCAAAAGTGCAAAACCCAGTAAGGCAAATTCTATCCAGATCTGAAAGCTCTACAATAATCCTCTTGGTTGGATCCTCTGCCCTCCAGGCCCACTGGCTCAGCAATGCCGCTCTCCAGCCCTCGGCAGTGGCCAGCACCACAGCTCTTTGCCACAGCTCCCCACCCCAAGGCACTGGGCAGGGGCAGCCTGGCCTGCTTAAGGAGACCACCCTTTCACTCCCTGCCTCCCCAATGACCCGCTGTGGTGGGAGTGGCAACCCTGATGATCTGTGAATCACTTTTCTTAAAGGATGAAGCAAGCTGTATTGTCTGGTCCTACAGAACAGAATTCTGAAAGCCTTCCTTTGTTCATCCTATCTTTAATTTTTTTTTGGTCTAAACCGGTAATGTCTTTGCTGATTTAAAAAAAAAAATCTCTATTCCTGGCTCATGGGTTATTGTCCAGCCATACCCTTAGTGTCCTCTCCAGAAAACCTTTTTTATTTTTTCCAATATAAATAGGCTGATAATTTGCCAAATCTTCAAGTTCTGTTTCCTTTTTGCTTAGTGAATCCTTCCATTTATCTCCATCCACTCACATTTTATGTAAGTACCGAGAAGCCAGGCCACATCTTTAACACTCTGAAAATCTCTGCAGCTGAATATCTAAGTTCATCACTTGCATTTTCTACTTTCCACAAAACACTAGAACACAGTTGGTGGTGGAGAAAACACAAACTCAAAGTGCTTTTTCCTCTTCTCTCACTCAACACAACAATCAACGGAGAAGACTTCTGTGATCAAAGATGCAGGGGCTTACCCTACACACCAAGCAGCAATTGATTCAGACACTGTCCACCTATAGATAGCATCAGATTCCACAGGTTGAGGGCTCGGTTTCCAAGACTGGGCCCCCTTCAGATACCAGACACAAGTCTAGGCCCTCAGAACTTCTGACTGACTGGCTTCCAGTTGGGGTTCCCAGGATGTCTCTTTGGGTTCAATTAATTTACTAGAGCAGCTCACAGAACGCAGGGAAGCACTTGCTTGCATAAACCCAGCGAGGCCTGTCTCTCCAGATTCTTCTCGGCTTCTCTGTGCAACATTTCTTCCTCAAGAGTGTGGGATGGCTTCCTTCAGCACTACGTCTATTACATTGGAAAGATACAGATTAGCCTGGCCCCTGTGCAAGGATGACATGAAAATTCATAAAGCAGCCCATATTTTCAAAGTAAAAAATAAAGAGTATAGGGCAGGACCCTCTCTACAATGAGAGTCGATGACCCACAGTGAGATTACAGTCCTGCTGTAGGCAGGTGAAAGGAGGACAGAAGTTCAGATTCTGTTTCCTGACACCTGTTTCTGAAGCCTAAAGTACCCTAACATCGTAACAAAGGACTATAACAAGGGCTATGGGAGTTATGAGCCAGGAACCATGGAGAAAACCGATATACACAGATATCATAATATCACAGCAATTCACCTGAGTCCTTTGCCATGTTGTAACTGGTATTGGAGTTCAGAGACCAATATCCCAAAATATGGTACTTTGACACATTAAACTGGAGAAGTCTCATGTTCTCTCTGACCTTTTCTTGCATGCTCCTGTCTCTTAATCCTTTGTCTCTCCCAAAGCACAGGATGAAATTGTTCTCTGAATTTCCCTTATCTGCCTAAAGTCTGGACCTGCCAAAGAAGACAACTGTCTCGGGTGCCTTCTCTGTTTTCATGAACTGCATTCATGTTGCGGGAAGACTGAAGTTTGTCAACATACCTCGACAGACTTTTGTTGAAAACCATTGTCAGCTCTGTGGGCCAAAAGACTCTGTCCGAGGCCATTGTATGTTCTTCAAGCCCACTGAATTCCCCTAAAAATCATTTACTATCGCCCCAAAATCATCCGCACTTCCCTATCTCCCCTTCCCCTAAGAAGTGGGGTATATAAACATCCGTACCCCAGTGGGATATTAGGCACTCTGTGATTCTCTCCCATGCATGCTCATAAATTTGTATGCATTGTCTCCGGTTAATTTGCCTTTTGTGCGTTGATTTTTCAGTGAAACTTCAGAAGGCAAAGGGGAAGTCTTCCCTTAGCCCCTATACAAAAATAACCTTTCCTCCAGTTTCCAATAACATGTTCCTCATTTCCATCGTAGACCTCACTGGAATAGCTCTTAATATTCATATTTCTACTAATATTCTGTTCCTGATGATATATTCGTTCTCTAAGATGACAGAAGTTTTCTCTTCAGCTCTCTTTCTGTCTTCCTGAGCCCTGACCAGAATCTATTATTATAATTATAGGTAAATGTGGTCCATAATTATGGCTATAGTCCTAGAGCCATGAGACTAAAATTCTAGTCCCAGTTTTCTCTTCAACCAGCTCTGTGACTTTCTGGGACTGAGTTTCTGCTGAAAAACTTGGCAACAGGAATGGCTGCCCCCAGTACATCTCACCCAGGAGCTGTGAGGAGCAATTGACATGATGGCAGTGAAATTTCTG